GGAAAAACACTAACCCACTGCCATCAAGTCAATTCGGACTCACAGCAACCCTCATTGGGTTTCCAAGGCTGTAAATCTTTACAGAAGTAGACTGCCTCTTCTTCCTCCCACAGAGCCTTACCTACTACACCACCAGGGCTCCTTATCTTTCTTCTGTTATTGTTGTTATGTGCCATTGAGTCCAGTCGGATGCCTAGCAACCCCTCCTTGTGTTTCCGAGGTGGTATTACTATGGAAATAGATTGCCCAACCTTCCTTCTGAGGAGTGGCTGATGGGTTTGAACCCCCAGCCTTCTGGTTAGCAGTCAAGTGCTTTAGGCACTGTGCTACCAAAGCTCAATTCCAACTCATTCAAGCTTTTCCAGACAAAGGGAAAAGAGACCAAGCTTTGTTTAGCTCTTAAGCATAGGATTTAAAAGGATAGGTATCTTTCCAATAGTTTAAATTACTAGATTGGATGGTCAATGTAAATTTTAGGTGCAAATTTAAATGGGTACAGAAATGCTTTCCGAAAAGTCTACATATCTATACTGGTTTTATTATTCATGAGTTCCACATTTTCTACTGTTTAGAATAACTATTTTTCACATGGTAACAGTTTGCTCTTACAAGTATGAAAACAGTGACTCTACATGTACCCATCAGAGCCAGCACGATGCTTTGGGACCCAAAGTCCAATAAAGCACAAATAAAAGCTGTTTCTTGTTTGTAGATAGAACGTAGCGAGGGCCTCACCGTCTCTCAGACAGGGTGTGAAAAGTTGGTAGGCACACCAAGGATTTTTCTATTTATTGTTTTATGACAAACTATGGCACTGAAAATGGTTTTTGAAACCACTCTGTTTATTTTCATCGGCAAACAAACATGGGATCATGTGACAATGATACACCCTGTGTGAACATCCCATAAGGATAATAGTCAAACACTGGGAACTTTCAAAGTCCATTCTGTTATCAAATTGCCTTCATGAAACAGAGCACACCAATTCAAGCAAATCTAAGGTTTTCAGAGCTCAGCAAGATCTCTTCAAGAAGAGGGCTTAGCTGGAACAAGCTATTGAAAGCAAAATAAGCTATGGGAGTCAGTTCCATGTTACGTGAGGGTGGGGAGTAGCTCTGGTGGCATAATGGTTAAAGCATTCAACTGCTAACCGAAAGGTTGACAGTTTAAACTCACCAGCTGCTCTGTGGGAAAAAGATGAGGCAGTCTGCTGCTATGAAGGTTTATAGCCTTGGAAACCCAGTGGGGCAGTTTTACTCTGTCCTATAGGGTTGTTATGAGGCAGAAATGACTCACTGGCAGTGGTTGGTTAAAAGACCTACTGAAGTTTATGGACAGCGCAAAATGTTAAGCACTCAACTGCTAACCGAAAGGTTGGTGGTTTGAACCCACCCAGAGAGCTGCCTTGGAAGAAAGGTCCAGTGATGAGCTTCTAAAAGGCTTGAAAACCCTATGGAGCAGCTCTACTGTCGGCCACATAGGTGTGAGTTAGCATCGACAGGACAGCAACTGGTTATAAAACAGCCTTTGCTCCTCAAGTTTCTTCCCCAGTGATCTGCCAACTCGTATCCCATATTTCTCCAGCACTGAGCCTAAAATTTCCAAACATTCTCTCAACATTCTCTTAGGTAAGACAGTGAAAAGTAGGACATCACATCCCAAAGATACAGTTAGAAAGATAGGAGGGAAGAAGGAGTGTCTAATCTACCTGTTAATTTTGAAGGTACAGGTGCCCCAGGGAGTGAGATACAGGAGAAGGAAGTTTTAATTGGGGAGGAAGAAGCGTTGGCCGGCATGGAGGCAAAAATTGGCATTGGGCCTGAGAGAGATTATCAGGCATTTGATAAAGGAGACAGAATAGGCAATGGTTAAATTGAGCAGTGAAGTTAATTTAAAGAATGGCTTCTCTAAGAAAGTAATTTCCTTTTCCAAAGGTCCTGAGTAAGTGGTCATCCACTATGCTGCTGAACCTCCCCCAGGTTTGGCCGAAACACTAATAGTGACCTCAGCTTTGAACAGGGTGCATAATGTGGCCCAAACTGCTCTACTGCACCAGCGGTAACCATTTTTTGTTTCACCTCCCCCATCCTCTCAAGAGTCCATACTTTTGCAGAACTTTGCTTATCAGTCGAGAGATCTTAACTTTCATAAGCCCCAGCCAAGAGATAACACAACACCCCTGAGATAGATGCTATCAAATGAATAACATGACCATGGTAGATAAAGAACAAATCTCTAGTCTCACTGGAAATGACATTTTGGACTTTTTCTCTCTCCGAACTATTTCTTTCCACTAGAACTTGATTTGATTTTGCAAGATAAGAAGAAAAGATCGCCAAACAATTCTATTTTGTTTAATCAGGGAATGGATTATTTTAATTTGACTCTGCCTCTCTTTCCTTTCCAGACCCTAACAAGAGACAATTCTGTCCCAGCCAGATCGTTAATGATGTCCAGTTTGGTGAGCAAATATTGGGCTAGTCAGAGGTCCTCTGCTGAAAGTCCAGAGTTTCAAAGGGCATAGCCCACAGCTTTTAATTCAATTAAGCAAACACAATCTGAGTAACTATTACGGGCAAAGCACAGTCCCAGTTAGTACAGGGGGAAAAAAAAACCTGACCAACTCTTGGCCTCTGAACTTGAGAAGCCCACAGTCAAGAATTTTGCAGCCCTTTCCCTTAAAATAGTTTAATATTTATCATTCCCACAAAAACCTCCAATTATCTTATTTTTAGCTCAGACTTATAGCCGAGGAGTCAACTGGAGTGAGGCTTACAGTGGCTTGAGCTCTGTGCCTTTCGGTAATACAGATAAAGAATATGCTGGTCACTCAGCGTAAATGTAAATTCTTGACTACTGAGTTTTTTTTTTTTTTTTTTTTTAAGATGGCTTCCTCCTATTTTCTGGAAACTATTAAATTGATTTTTCAAGCATGGATTGCAGGTCTGGATTGGGAAATAAAGAGAAGGTGAAAAGGCAATACCTGGAAATGAATTAGTCCTAGGGAAAACTATGAAATAAAAAGTTCACTTGAGGCTCTTTTCCTTTCTTCTATCCTTCCCCAGTTCCTGGCCTCTCAGCCTTCTGTTTCTTATCTTATACCAGCTCTCAGCAGGCTGTGGTAATCTGCCTTAAAATGTTAACCCCTGTAGCCGTGTCAGTATAGTTTTCCCTTTATTTCTCTATTTTTAAATGTTGATTTTCCGTACTTAAGTCAGCTATGCAGAAGACTTCAGTTATGTTTAAATGGCTATTTTTTTTCTTTTCATTTAATGAATACATAGGCTCCACTTTGCTAACATCTATATTCTGCAGCCCTGTGCATGCTGAAGACAGTAGGCCTGGTTTCTCTAATTCATAAAGAGCAAAGCAACACCAGAAACATTTCCTGCCTGAGAATATATTGGGATAGTAGAATGAGCCAACAATTCTTATTCTAAAAATTGATAAAAGTAAAGGATACTCAAAAGATTTTTCCCAGGTGAAGCTTTCCTAGGGTCAACGTCTCCCAGGCTCTTGTTAGCCAATAGGAAAGATGCGTGAGTGATGCTGGTCTCTAAGAGCACCAAGGGAACATCACACTAAGAATGCACTGGCCTAGAAGTCAGAAAGCCTGCTAGTCTTGATTCTTCCATTCTGCGTACTGTGTGATCATAGGGCAACCTCTCTGGATTTCAGTTTCCTCATCTTTAAAAAGAGATAATAGTAGCAGTAGTAGGATGGTCATGGGATCAAACATAACAGATGGGCAAGATTTTCAGAAGCTGTTAATAACTGGATATAGATAAAATATCATTAATGTATCATCAATCTCTCTTACAGACAGAAAACTTATTTTCCTTATTGGCATTTGGTTCTTTGTTTAACAATATTTCAGAGGAGTTTTTCTTTTCTGTTAGCTATTTCTACTCTCATGATTTAACTAAAGGGAAATAATAACATCTTGAGACAATCATCAAAATACATTAACAGAGTAATAAAAATTTCCCATATATCTGACCAGGAAAATAAAAATAAATGATTGTATAAAAGGGCTTTCAGGTTTGGGATGGTGTCTTTGGAATGTGTTCTGTGACTTTTACTACCCTAGAAGCATGCTACAGACAATTCTACTTGAAGCCAAACCCAGCCTGTAAAAAATAAGCTACAGACCTAAGACCCAGGTCACACTGCAAGCTGGTAGCAGAACTGGGACTAGAATGCAGGTGTAGTTTTGTTTTAACATAATTTCATATTGCTCTGTAAACTTCCTGTCAGGGAAGAGTTCTGTTCTTGGCAATCTTGACTCAGTAACAAATATTTTCTCTTTATCAAGGCACCCTTTCTGGGTTTTCTAAACTGTGGTAATCAATGAACCTACATTTGAGAATCCACTGGAGTAGCCCAGGCAACTCAGAGGCTGGCAGAAAATTCATATATATAATAAAAGGACAGAGTTTCCAGTTCCCTGGGAATAATCAATAGAGTGCTGGGATGAAACCAAGGTAATAGAGTATCTTCAAAGAAATTTTATGCTCCTTATTGAACCTCATAAGCAGTAACTCTAGTCGTTCTCCTGAAAGATAAGTTAAAAAAGAGGAAAAAAAAAAGTGTGACCAAAATATTGTTTCTCAGGGCCCTTCCCTGAGAAAAGTAGGGCCACTTGAATGTTGTGGCCAGTCATTTTAATACCAAGATAAGAGTTGGATTCCTGAGAGAGGATGGTAGGATAAGGGGCTTGAGTTCATTTCTGTAAAGTTAAGATGACCTGTACATTCTTGTCCTATTCTCAAAGGTTTTATTAGAGGAATGTGGAGGACGGTTTCCCTTTTCAAAATAATGTTTACTTATTCTATCTGGAAAAACTCCTTGTGTTTCAGATTCAGCCTGCAACATGTAGCAACTGATAGCTGAACAGAATTCTGCATGTGTATAAGTAGCACAGTAAATCATTTACTCAAAGGAAAAACAACAACAACAAAACCCAGCCTCCCAAACCAAGACAGTAGAAGAGAACTAACTGATTTGTCTGTTGTCTTTCCTGTCAAGATGGCCCTCGCCTTTGCTTTGGTCAGCGGGAAGGACTTTATGTATGAGTCATACAAGTGCTTGGCCAGGGACCGGAGATCAGCAGACTCTGGGTTCAGCTGGTCGATGTCACTGGAGATCTCCGCCAACAGCTTCTCCTTCTCGGCCTGTGGCATCCGCCCAAACCTGATGGCTAGGGAGGAAGAAGAATGACAGGATGAATTACTGAATTACTGCCTAGTTCCCACATAGTAAAAGCCCTCCTCCCCTCCACTCATCTGAAGTTCTGGTTTCCACCTGCAACTTTGCTCACGTTTTTATTTCACAGCAGTAGTCCAGACTATCAATAAAAGTTAATTATTCACTTTTTTAATTAAAAAAAGTAATTCAGGATCCTGCCAGGAGGGTGGAAGGATTGAAGAGTTTAGCAAAGAAAGGCAACTATATTTACTTAAACGTGAAATAATTGAGAGCCAGTTTCTACTCACCCCTCAAGACCCAATTCGAATGTCACCTTCTTTACTAGGCTTTCCTAATTTCCTAAACAGAAAACGGGAAACCATCTTCCACTTCTTAATTTTTCCTTCCCTATACTTACATAATCCTTAGTACATTTATAGTAGTTTTTACATTGAACTGTAATTATTTATTTTACACGTCTATTTATCTCAAGGAGCTCTGGTGGTACAGCGGTTAAAGTATTCAGCTGCTAATCAAAAGATCAGCAATTCGAACCTACCAACCCCTCTGTGGGAGGAAGATGAGGCAGCCTGCTTCCATAAAGATATATAGCCTTGGAATCCCTATGGGGCAGTTCTACTCTGCCCTATAGGGTTGCTATGAATTAGAATCCACTCAATGGTAGTGGTTATATATGTACTTGGTATTTATTCCACTTTGGAACGAAGTCCCTAAGGCTAGACAGTACCTTTATCATCTTATTTGCATCCCCAGCACTTGACAAAGTTAGGCACTAAAAAAGGCAACCATTTCCATGAATTCAAGTAAAAAATTATACAGAATTCAAAGTTGCACAAAACACAGGCTTGCTTCCCAGGGGGCTTGGTGCAATCAGTTTTGTCCCTATTCTAAAGAAATATGGGTGGTGCTTTGTCTCATGTGATTGGGCCAGAGAGTTCATTAAATGTAAATTTAATGAACAGAATTCATACTCATCCCCATTGGATAATCCACTGGGGGACTATCACTTAATGGTGTTTTTTCACAAAGATAATTTGCTTAATATTTGGCTTGTTTTGGGGTAAGGAAATGTGAAAGTTGAAGAAAATGAAAGGAAGGAAAGAAGGAACGAAGAAAGGTAGGCAAAAAGAAACACTTAAGAGAGGTTAGGTGAGGCCTGTCGTCGTTGTTACGTGCCCTCGAGTCGGACCCAACTCATAGCGACCCCTCCTTGAATTTCCGACGCAGTATCACTATGGAAGTAGATTGCCCCGTCTTCCTTCCGAGGAGTGGCTGGTGGGTTTGAACCATCAGCCTTCTGGTTAACAGTCAAGTGCCTTAGGCACTATGCTACCAGAGCTCCCCCCAGGTGAGGCCTAGGTTGGAGAAAAATAATGTTTGTTACTCTTTCAACTCAGACATGTTTGTTTTCCTCCCTAAAAGAATTATCTGCAAAATATTTTGAGTAATGCTACTTTGGGTACAAATTTCGACTACCTGCCTTTTCCTATAATGACGATATTTAAATATCATACCCAATATTTTTCCATGCATAACTCTATCATTACACTTACCATGTAGAATCACAGTGATGTGTTTTTATGATAGCCTGCCTCCCTTTGCTAGACTATAAGCCCCTTGAGGGTCGAGATTGTACGTTCTTCATTTATATCTCCAGTACTTGGTGATGCTCAGTAAATGGTGTTGAATACAGGAATGAAGAGATGGATGGTTCCTTGTTATATGTTATTATGCTAAAGGTAGAATTTCTACCATAAGACATAAAAGCACATGAAAACACTTGCATCTTAGTGAATTTTCCTTTGGATTTGTGAGAGAAGAGTCACAAATTCATATTTTCATGGCAGTTGACCCTATCTAAGCTTCTCATGAACCAGTGTAACTATTGTGTTGTATGGGCTTCCTTAGGAGCCTCTGCACTTACAAAAAGAGGAAAGTTAGAGAAGAAGGGAATCATAGCCCTGTTATGATTCCTTTAAATGAAACTGGACTAGATTTAGACCCTTTTGGTGAGTATATCCTCTGCAAATGACCCCGTTAAATAGAAATCTTTCAATTAGACAATCCTTAAACATTTTTAAAATCTTGTTTCTCTATGCCATTCTCTCTTTTTTGTTTCACAAGGATGCAAAATGGTTGCTTACTTTCTTATTTATTGATGAATGCCTTCTGCTCAAACTTAAAACAAACTGTGAATTTTTATAAAATGAAGTCCCCCTCAAAGACTAAATCTTATGAACAAATTTTCTGTATTATGAAATGCTCAAGCTGCAAATTAGGTTCAATAAACCATCCATATACAACTAACTTTATGGCAGATTTTAGCATTTTTACATACCAGACTCATAAAAGGGATGGAAATCACATCCCATTTGGTTGGACTAAATTTTCATAAATAGAGTTCTGAAGTTGTAAAGGAAATAAAATTTATTATTTTTATGCATTTTCAAGATATAGAAACCCTATTTTTTTTCTGTTGCTTTTGAGTCCCATGTGCTAGCACCTGTCTCCCTCATGACATTAAATGAGATGAAGCACAGAAGTACTGAGCAGTGCCTGGCACACAACAGTGTGTAATAAACATAGCTTTCATTACTGTGTACACAGTGGTCTAGCTCAACCAGGGGTACTGTGGGCTATAGACCACAGTGGTAGCCATGGCATACTGACCTAGATTCTTCCCCACAGACATGATAATAAACCCTAAAAACTTAATCTGTCTACCTGTGTGTCTATCTATCTATCTTTAAATTGTTTAGGGCATAACATGTTTTAGTTAAGTAATTCATTGTGTGTGTGTGTTAATATATAAATAATGAAAAACTTGCCATTGTGATCATTTTTAAGTGCACAGTTCAGTGACATTAATTACACTCACCATGTTCTGCAACCATCACCACTATCTGTTTCCAAGAGTTTTTCATGATTCCAAACAGAAACTAAGTACCTCTTAAGCAATAACTCCCCATTCCCTCCAGGCCCTGGAAACCACTTTTGTCTCAATGCATTTACCTATTCTAGGTATTTCATACACAGGGATCATACACTTAAATCCTTTTGTGCCTGACTTATTTCACTCAGCATAATGTTTTCAAGCTTCTTTCATGTTGTGGTATGTATTAGGACTTCATTTCTCTTTATGACTGAACAATGTTCCATTGCATGTTTATACCACATTCTGTTAACCCATTCATCTGTTGATGGACACGTGGGTTGTTTCCAGCTCTTGGCTGCTGTGAATAATGCTGCTATGAACATTGGTGTACAAGTACCTGTTTGAGTTTCTGCTTTCAAGTCTGTTGGCTATATATCCAGGAGTAGAATTGCTGGGTCCTATGCTAGTTACATGTTTAACACTAAGGTAATTCTTGAACCTAGGCTTCCACCCATTTAGGTGAAGAATCTGAGATCAAGAAGAGGGAAGTATTCTCCCTTTAAAGGTTATGGAGGTTAGTGTGTTGTTTCATGAAAGACTGAAAGTTAGAGCTTAGAAACAAGGTGAATGTTTGAGACTGGGGATCAGAAATATAAAGGCTAGAAGGAGTTGCCTAAGAAGCCCTGATGGCACAGAGGCTAAACACTCGGCTGCTAACAGAAAAGTCAGAGGTTTGAACTCATCAGCCACTCCTCAGGAGAAAGATGTGTCGGTCTGTTTTCTTAAAGATTACTACCTCGGAAACCTTATAGGGCAGTAGTTCTACATTGTCCCATAGAGTTACTATTGGAATGGATTTGCCAGCATGAGTTTTTGTTTTCTTTTTTATAAGAGGTTGTGATGAGTTAGAATCGACTCTGCAGCAACTAATAACAACAACAACAAGTATGCCCATGTATCAGCATATTTTTTCAAAAGTTCCACCACTGCTTGTTAATCTTAAAGGATTAAAGGACAGAAGGAAAATCCTCCATGTATTTACTATTAGTCATTGAGCAAGAACTTTTGGCTCTTCTGGAAGGCAATGAAAAATACACTACACTTGAAGTTACCAGGAAGTCTAGTTTCAGCTCAGTGACAAACTAGCTATGTGACTAAGAAAATGAGTTAACTTTTCAGGTCCTCATTTTCCTTATCTATAGACTGAAAGAGTTGAAAAAAGTCTAAAGTTTCCTTCCTTTAGTTCTAAGTTTAGCTCAAAATCCCACAAATCCCTATAGCACACAGTATTGGGACACAGTCTAAGTTCTCTTTTTTCAAAAAAAAATAATTGTCTAGTCTTTGGGGCCCTAAGAAAAAACACATTCCACTTTTCTACAGATCTACATCTATGTCTGCAGATCTTTCATCTGTTACCCAAAGCAACTGGCAGAATACTGCATTCTGTTTCATATTTGGGATAATTAATTACCTACAGACAATTCATGTACCTTGTTAAAAAAAAAAACAAAAAACTGTCAGTATCAATCAGTATGTACCTTTCAGGAAAAATAAGTTTGATGAATACCCATTTATTTCTGGTTGTTGTTGTTATGTGCCGTCGAATCAGACCCGACTCATAGCGACCCCTCCTTGGGTTTCCAAGGCAGTATCACTACGGGAGTAGATTGCCCAACCTTCCTCTGAGAAGTGGCTGGTGGGTTTGAACCGCCAGGCTTCTGGTTAGCAGTCAAATGCCTTAGGCACTATGCAACCCACAATATCCTTTCTACTGGACTCAATGCCACTCATTATTAGCATGGGACAGACAAGAGTCAGCATTGTGTATTTAGTACTAATATTACTGAGCACACAAACTCCAAGCATGCGGAATATTTAGATAGCCTGCATTTTAGATCTGGGCCCCCCACAACAATAAAACACCTACCTAACTGTAGGAGCATTAAAAACAAATGAGACTTAATTACAAAGATTAATTAAGGCAGACTTGTAAAATAGTAAGTCAACAGAAAATAGAAGAATGAAGTATGTTGACTCTTACTAAGATATTTTTAGTTTTCATAATCAAAAGGGTATTTATATCTCATGATCAGTATTTCCATTTTTATATGTTTATT